CAGCAGGAACAAACCTCTCTCTCCTGGATTTTCAGGCCAGACTGCCTGTTCTCATGAGGAATGGGACTGTTTGCTTCAGACAGGCACCACAGTAAGCAAAAAAAAGCAACAACCTGAGAACTTCACAAACCTCATCTTTACTTTCTATCTGTCCTGCCAAAGGGATATTTGTTAGCCTAGGTATTATGTTTACCTTTGAAAAGGGAGTACTCTGTTTGCTACAAGCCATGTCTGACACACCTCCAAGAAAATCAGAAAATCAGAAAAGAACCCACATTTCTTGCTGCTTTCGAGTCTTTAAGCTCAAACTCATCACCTTGCAGGATGGGATCTGCAAGCACCATTTAGATCCTTCAAGCCCTCACACAGCCAAGTATCCTTTATTCACAGGAGAAGTCACATTAAATTCTTTCCCCTCCTGCCTAAGTTTTGGCCAGCCTTGGTCCTGAAAGGGATCCTGCCAACTAATTTTCTTGAAAAAAAAGAAAAGCAGGTGATGAATTTTGCCAGCCCTAATAAAGCGAGTAATCCTCATTGCCTCCTAGCAGTGTAGAATTAAACAAGGCACAGCATTCTTGTCAAATTTTATGTAAACACTCAGCATTTTAGTTTTACTATGATGCCAGCTCTTCAGTGAAGAGGTAAAGTGGAAGCTGAAACAGAACTGCCCTGCAAAACCAGAGGTATGGAGAAAGCAAGTGCCCAAACTACTGTGGGCTGAGCAGAGAGATTGGTAGAAACAGCATAAATGCCAAGTCATCACTGCATATTTCAGTGAACAAGGTTGTTCTTTTGCAAGGTGCTTAATGCATGGACAGTCCCTACATAGCTCTGGGATCACTTCTAGACAAGGGAAAGCCAGTGCCCTCTGCTCTGCAATGTCTTTGTCACAGGTACCTACTTTTTTCCTTGCATAGCAGGAGCCAAGGCCCTGGATACACTCAGAACTTCATCACTTGAATTCATTTTTTATTTTCCCTGCACAGGGAGAACACATAGAACTTCAGGTATGAGCAAGACCTGATCTCACAATCTTGGCTTGGTTGCAGTGGCAGCAGAGGGCAGGACTTTCCTTCCCTTGGAAGAAGATGTGGTGACATGAGCTGTCTCATATGGAGGAGGAAACCACCATTCACACATGTTGTTCAGAGCAATTTGAACAAAAAAAAATAATCAGAAACTATATGTAGGTTCTGGGTCCCTCTCCTCTCGTGAGGACTGAAACAAATACAAGTCACTTCTCTACTTTGGCCTTTGTAAGCAGTCCCATTCCCAACACAGACTTGCTTACCTCTGCTTGCCAAGCAGAGCCCCCAAACCCAGAGGTGATGCTACCTGCCAGGGCTCTGCATCTCCCCAAGCACCTACGTGGGACGTTTCACACAACAGGTGTGTTGAGCTTCATACCAGCAAATCAGGGAGCCTCAGGCTGATCATATCTTGCAGATTTGTTTTGTCTTCTGGGCCGAGGTCTTGTTTGTACTGCCACTTCTCTGGCACAAAGGGCCACTTCATTTCCTTTGCTTCCTCCAGAAGGGTCCTCAAGTCTGCGGGAAGCAAAGCTGAAAAGGTCAAAGAGCAGGTAAAGATACTGCAGTGGGTTCAGCTGTAACACTTAGGACAGAGAACCTAGTCTGCAAAAAGCATGCCCCCCCCTCCCTCTCGGACCTTCTCCCAGTTGCTACCAGTTTTCAGCTCTTGCTACCAGCCTCATCAGGGAGGAAGGTGAGCTCGCTGTCATCTGTCTCCCTTGGCTGCTCTGCCCTCCGGGGAAACAGGAGCCATCAGCCATTAAAAAGGCTTTTAGCAGGAAGTCACTCCAAGAGAGATGGGAGAAAAGCTTTTCCCCCATGTGAGGAGAGGACCCCTGGCAGAGCAAACAGGGCCAACAGCACAGATCTGTCCCCCTTGCTGGTGACAGTGGCAGAGCCAGCTTGAGAAGCTACATCCAGGCTGGGGGATAAACCTGGACCAGGTAAAACAATTCGATTAAGATCTAAAGGGATATAGTGAATAATAAGTATATGCTCTTGGGAATCATTATTTTACTGATGATTCCATAGAAAAAAAAGTTGTTGGCCTGAATTACTGAACATACTCTCAAAGCAGTAGCCATAGACTGCAGGACACACTTTCTGAGAGCTCACTGCTCTAGCAGACAAAATGGTTTAAGCCATTTCAAAGCCAGCTTAGCCCACTAATTCACACTAGCTGAGGAGCTTCAGCACTTCTCTTGCAGTTTGCAACAGAAGCAAAAAATAAGTTAAAAGGAGAAGGTGCCCTTGGTCCAAGCATTCTTCTTGCCAGGTATGGCCACCACAGAGCTGCACACATGAGGTGCAAAGTACTCCTAGCTCCCATGCCTGGCCCCTGATCCTCCAGCAACGTGCCAAGAGCCTGCAAGGCAGGAGCACAGCATGGCCCATGCCCTGCTGCCCCCTGAGGCTGGCCCTTTGCATCCCATATAACATTGGCTCCAGTTGGATCTCCAACCTGACCATTCTAAGGATACAACTGCTAGTAGGAGACCACAGCTAGAGATTTGGGCTGGAGTTTGTCCCTTTTCTTCAGCTGCAGGCCACATTTAAATTATTATTGAAAGAGAGGTGAAGCTGCAGCCTGAGTATGCTGTGCTGTGCTAACCACTCGTCCATGCAGACTCTCTGGCCAATAAAAGTGGATTAACAAGGATTATTGACCAGATGGGGTTAATGGTGATCATCAGCTGCAGATCTTGCCCCTTCTGGCCATTAATCCTCAGAAAAAACCCTGCTTAGAGACCATCACTGCTTCAACGAGGGAGTGCAATAAATGTATTACTATATAGTTTTTAATCAATCCTTTAGGGATGACTGTAGAAAATGCACTACACAAAAAGTCTATTTCATGCTCATATTACAATGCATTCACAAGTCTGTTTTTCCTAGGAAAAAAAGGGGGAAGGTTTAGGGCCCTTTTATCCAAAAAGTCACCTTTACAAATGTAATTTGTTTTCCAACCCAAGTTGGAAACTTGGTTCCAAACAAGTTTTCTCACTTGTTGCTGCAGCTCTGGACACACTTCCTGTTACACATCCTGGCTTTACAGGCAGCCACGTTTCCCTGCCCTTCCCAAGCAGTGCCTGGAAGGGCTCAGCCCTCCATGGCAAGGCTGCCAAGCAGTAGAGCTGGTGAGGAGGTTGTGCTCCCACCCTCACACCTCCAAGAGCAGGGACACCCATCTCACCGCACAGAATGCAAAATGAATGGCAGAGGGTTTTATCTCCCTGTGTAGACTGGGGAAGAACAAGCTTCCCAAAACCTTTTCCAAAGGAAGAGGGGGGAGCCTGAAGGCATGTTTCCCTATATAATTCCATAGGACTGATGTTTTGGAGGAGCATCTAGAGAAGCAGAAGCAGGATGCATACACAGACAGCCCTTCTGACTCCTTCTCCACCTTTTTCTGTCTTTCCCACACAAACTTAAATAACACTAAAACAGGAAACAATAGTAGTGTCAACAACTATGAAAACAATCAGTGGGATTAATGTGGACATTGGCATTCTCTCTAGAGCATAAAGGTATTATTTCTGTCCTCTTGTTCCTGTTTTCCATGTTACCCTTGATCAAACCCTCTTACTCTGATGCACTGAAAACCCAAGAATATGGCCAAATTTTTTACCATTGAACTTTGACTTTTAAAGAGGCATCCTCAGCAGTCACTATTGCCAGGCTGGGGGGCAACATTTTCAAAAGAACTTGGCAATCTGGGAGCCTGCAATCATCTTTGGGGTTGGACATTGGTGTGAGCCCAGCAGGACACCACTTGCTGTGCCGTCCAGTTGTCACCGCACGGCAACGATGAGTGTGTTAATGACAACAAAGGGATGTTGTAGGAGCATCTACCAGGACCTCACCAACCAACTGGGGACCCCACGTGAATGGGCCAGCAGCTTTCAGCTAAAACCCAGCTCCAAGGACAAGAGTTCACTTCTGTTACAGAGAGCTGTTCTCACTGCAGGCAACAGAGATTCTGTTCATTAACGGAGGCTGAACTGGCACAGATGTTGATTAGAAGGATTTCTACTCTAAAAGGAAATCTAAAAAGCAATCCAGACCCATCCAACACCCACTCTTCCCCCTCAGCTACAGCAAGATAAAGATGCCCTCCTCCTCTCCCCTACACTTATATTAATTTGGCTTTCGATTCATCCTGTGCCTGGTCTGAGAGAGTTGGAGCAAACAAAGGCAGCCCTGGGAGGAGAGGGGGGTGAAGAAACCCCCTCTGCCTCGGTGCTGGGAGGGTCCCCCCGAAGCTGAGAGCTGCTGACCTGCGAGGCCCTGCCTTCCCCGGGCAGAGAGCCCCAGCAGTTATTGATGTCGCTGTCACCGCCTCGCTGCTGGGGCTTTTTCTTTCAGCTGATGGGAACACGGTCCTCGGGAAAGCCCGGGCACCACTTCAAGCTCTGATCGCGTATTTCCTGAAGCAGTTTACCTGAAGGACCGTGTCTAATCGAGTGATTATAAGGGCACTGATTTACCTTATCTGGAACTAAACTGATTATTTCTCATACTCTGTGGTATTTAATAGGAGAAAAGGAGGGAGGAGGATGAGGGTAAAAAAAAAAAAGCTACCTGATTAGGAGTTCAAGAGCCTATTCTAGGGAACCATAATAAACTTAAAAGAATTTGTGATGAGGAAACAAAGTGTCCTTTGTTGAAAACACAAAAAGAAGGGGAAAAAAAATCTTCCAGGATCCATAACAGAAACCTACACACCACCCTCCACAGCAAACAGACTTAGGTGCTTCAGAAAAAGGCAGCTGACCTCCCAGCGAGAACAAGTGTGCTTGGAAAAACATATTCTCAACGGCTCCGGGCTCTGAGACAAACAAAGGATTTTCCAGATGAAATGAACATTATGGCCGAGTCATCCAGGCAAGGCAAAACTAAACATTATTAACACTAAACTGGAAACCGGACAGTACTGCAGATGGGACACGCAAAGGGAAACCTGCACATAAATAGATTTGTTTGGTGGGTTTTTTTTTTCCTAATGCCTTTGTGTTTTTTTTCCCCAGGAAATTTCACTTTTACCCATTCCTATATTGGTCTGTACTTGGCTGAAGTTGTTTTCCTGTGTGGCAGAAAGGAGCACATGGCCTTGCTGCTCTGTACTGCGAGGGTGTAATTCTAAGAAGTACAGCAACTAAACCGTGGCTTGTATTTCATGAACCAAAAAGCTGTGGCAATGAAGTTCAGGAGCCCTCTGAAAGTCTGAACCTCGAGAAAAACTGAACTGAGAGTATGATGGCCCTTCATGATGGACACAAACTGGATTTCCACTGGAACCACTCTCAAAGCAACATGGCCATGCCAAAATAAATGCTGGTTTCCAGCAGGTAATGCCAGCATGAAAACAAAAGAAGAACCCCTCTATTTCAGGTTTTGCTGAATGCTGCTTCCTTTCCTGGTTATTTATTCCAGCCATTAGCCACCATGGATTTTCCTTTCAAGGAGATAGGTTGTTTTTGTTTTTTTCCTTTGGCCACCACTTATAGAGGTCACACACATTTTACAAGATAAAGATTCAGGCAATGAGCTCTTTAATACATTAGGAGAAACTGACAAACAGAAAAGGCCCTCCCCCAACTCCTATGAAAGGAGAGGAAATTTGTGCCCTTATTCAGAAGTTGCATCTTTTTTTTTTTTTTTTAATAACTGAAATTTATGTGCATCAGCAAACTTTTGGGGCATTGTTCTCTCCAAACTAAACTGTTCCTTACAGCCTCATGTTTACTGAAGCCTAAAATTAGAACTGACAGCAATTCACTGCAACAAAGTGGACTGCTTTCCCTGCCTGCCTGTAGCCTGCAACCCATTCACAGCCTCGAAATCCAGCCATCTCTTGACACTCATCTGCCAGGAGAAGAAAAAATAGGGCAGGGCTGAGGCCAGGTGGCTGTTGCTGTGCTCCTGCCACCTCTCCTAGGGACCTCACCTTGGCACCGCTGGTACTCCTGCTCATCTTCCTGGCCTGTGTCAGCCCTGGCTGACAGGAGTGTGTCCAGAGCTTCCTTGCACTCCTGCAGCAGCGTGGCCGCAGCATTTTGATTATTCATGAAGGCTGATCCCACTCGGCTGTGAACTGGGTGTCCCCTGGTGCACGGTGATCAATTACTTAAGGGAAGACACGGGTTCTAAATGAAAAGGATCCCTTCCAGGCTGAGGTACCTGGCGAACAAAGGAGGGGGAAAATGATTAACTAAAGTATCATCAATTATCTGAAAGGCTCAAGCAGGGAGAAATAATAGGGGAAATACATGAAAATACATGACAGCCTCGGAGGACTTTATTAGAGGAGTGTGTGAAATTACTGCAGGGTCTTGGTGACAAACTGCGTGAGGGGAGCACATCTCCCAGGTGCCAGGGAGAAAGGCTGAGCTCTTCAATGGAGCTGTGACACCCCAAGCAGGGAAGTGACTAGCCAGGCTGTGCTGAAGCCCTTTGCACCTGAGGGGCTCAGGCTGTTAGCCAGGATTGACTGGCAGAGGATGCTGCCTGCGTTTACTGGAACGGGAGGACATGGCTCTGTCACCTCCTCTCATGCTAGCTCAGCTCCTGCCACAAAAAACCCCATGTCCTACCATGGTTTGCTTGAGGTAGTGGAGTAAAAACAGTGTTTGAAGCCAGGAGCAAGCTCTGTGTACACTGTAGAGGAAAACACAGGATGTGCAGGGTGCACCATTGCCAAATCCTTTCCAGTTACTACAGTAATTTTAGGGGAAGTCCCTAGTAGCAGAGGTCTGCCAGCCTGTGCCTGGACTGCTTCTAGCCAAGGCTGGCTCTCTGGACATTTGCCTGGCTGCCATAACATTTCCACTGCAAGTCCTTCAGGTGCTCAGGACATCACCAACAGTAAGGCAGAAACCCTCCCCCCCCCTCCCCATTCCATCCCAGGCATTGGGCTCAGCACCTGCCAAAACAGTCAAGCAGCTTTCTAAAATGAAGCACGAAAGAAGTATTTCAGGGATTTTACCCCACTGGTTTGCTGATGGTGTCACTTAGAAAACCACTCCCACAGGTTGAAGCATCATAGTCAGAAACAGCTTCTGTGAAAACATTTCTAAAATTGGGGAATCACTAAGGTTAGGTAGGATGAAGGGGAGTGCAGAGGAACACACAGTCACAGTTTGCTCTGCTGACTAGAGACCGTTTGCAGTTTAGCAGCTAAATTTCCAGACAGTTTTTTTCCCCTTTCTGTTGTAGCTCTGGGCTCGCTGGATCCTGGAGCTGGTGGCAGACAGTCTGTGCTCTCAACGGCACCAAGAGCAAGCTGCCAGACTGAAAAGCAGAGGGCAAAAGAGATGCACTCATGCGAAAGCAGAGAGGATCAGAGACCCTGCCGTGGAAAGGCAGGTGGAGCAAGGCAAAAGATGGGATTCATCAGTAAAGAGCCTGGAGGCAGGAGCTGGTCAGTGGGGCTGTGGCTGACTCTGCAGACAAATGTCAAGAGAAAGAAGAAATTTAAAAAGTAGCTGTAAAAAGGAACCTGAGGGGCAGGAGCACAGGCATGTAAAAGAAACTGGAGAGCAGGGTGGATAAGCAAAAGATCATCTAGAGGCAGAGCCATAGATTAAAAACTCAAGGCAAGGCTAATACTGTTAAATGCTCAGCATTTCCTAGCATCTGAGGCTTGGCTTTGTGATGGCAGTGGTGTTTTGCTGGTGTCAGTTCTTCCTTTCCGTGGAACCCACACTGTGCAGCACCTTGGCAGGGCTTCCTTCTGCTCCAGCCACACCCCAGAGAACAGCAGGAAAAGGACCTGGCACAACAAAGGCAAAAGCAGACTGCAGTCTTCAGGTTCTGGAGGGTACAAAACATCCTCTAGTAAGAATTAGAATCATAGAATAGAATCATGGAATATCTCCAGCTGGACAAGACCCCTAAAGACCATCCAGTCCAGCTCCCTATGTAGGGAGTCTTAGGAGTACAGCATCAGGCTGAGATACAGTGAAGCCAGCTTCAGTTCCTAGGTCTGCTGGTGATGTCCTGCTGATGTCAAGTCACATAAGCTGTGCCTCATTTTCTTGTCCCACTGTCACACACATGAGAGAGGAACAGAGATGTCAGCTGAGATGGGCCTCTTTGCTGGGCCACTCAATGGACAGCTGGAAAACGTGGGTGCTGTGAGGTCAAGTTTTTCAGGGTCTGCAAGATGTATGAAAGAATAAAAAGCCCATATAGTGAAAAAGTGCTCTGAGGAACAGCACAGGAACAATCAACCAGCTCTGTGTTCAGAAAGCTGTTAAAAAATTAACATGCCAGAAAAAACCTATCAGGTCAGAGTTCTTATAACAAGAGCAGGTTCCAGCCTGAACTCAGGTTTAGTTCCCAACCTTCTGACAAAACCCTGAGGTTGGATTTCTGCTGTTTTCCTTCCCTTCCATAGCTCTGCTCCAGTTGATATTACTACCTTCCTTCTCTCCAATTGCTTTTGTATTATAAATGCCTTCCTAGGAAAAGATTTTAGAGGTGTTTTCAGAAAACAGGTGCACATGCAGGTATCCACACAATTCAAGAATACAACTCCCAAATATGGCAAAGTCAAAAGAAAGCTACAAATTGAGAATTTATAGCCTAAGGCCTCTCCTCGTGTTTCTCCCCCCATCCTCGTACAGAACATTAAGAAACAAAGCAGAAAGCAAAGCCAGAAAGGGTTCTCCATCTTTCTAAGCTTCAAGTAAGAGCAAGCAGTGCCACCCCACACAGGGCACTGTCCCGCAGGGGCAGGGCTGAACTATCTGTCATTGACAAAGATAATTCCAAAAAAAAAGGCCAGCACACTGATGGGATTTGCTCACAGCACAATGTCCTAGTGCACATCCTAGTTCACAAAGGTCCCCTCTCCCTAAGCACCTCCAGGTCAGTAAGGTCAGACATCTGAGCCTGGTGACAACACCCAGAAAGCAAACTCTGGGGAAAAGCAAGAGTCCTCTCCTCCAACTCTGTCAGGGCTAGAAAAGCTGATCCAGTTGCTGGGTATCCATCAGGGAAAAGCAAAGCAGACCCCTCTGCTATAATCACAGTAACACACCTATGCTAGCGTTGCTTGCTCAGTTAACTGCACCGACATCTGCTAATTGATTTATCTGATTACCCTGCCCTGTGGGAAGGAGTGTGCAGCGGTCCCATGAGCACCTCCCAGGTTGGGATGAAGCATCCCTGCCATCTGGCCCTGACTCCATTCCTTTCTGTAATTGATTTCTCAAAAAAACTCTCGTTTCCTAGGGAGGAGTAACTAGTTTTTTAGTAACCACTGAGCACACATACACGTAACTCAGATCCACTGCAGCCATCAGTGGGAGTGAGTGGAGGAGGCTGCTCCAAGAGGATGCAGAAGCTTGTTGGAGAAAGCCTGCGTTCAACTGCCACCTTGCAGCCCTGGCAAAGACATGTTCATAAACACAATTTGCTATGGAGATGCACTAAACCAAACAGGGGCTGGGATACTAGCCTGTATGAAAAAATAACGTGGCATTAAGAGCATCCAAAGGAGCTTACAGACAGGCTCAAATTTATCTGTGTTGCAATCCAGAGCCCAGCATTAGCCTTTTGAACTGGACAGGCTGGAGTGCTGCAGCATGGAAGATCACACTGGGTCTCTGCTGTAAGCAGGAGGGCCCCGTGGCTTTGTGAGCCACACAGACTGCCAGGCTCACAAAGAACTACTGGGGCTTAGCAGGGAAGCTTAAATGAGTGTAGAAGTACAGCACTTGGCTTCTGAGGATTGTAAAGATTTAACTCACTGGGAACCTGCCAGGCCTGTAACAGTGATATATGAATGTCAGCAAGCCAGACATTTTTCTTCAAGTACATTTTTCCAAAGAACTGAATAAACAGCAAGGACTCTCTGACTAATAAATAATGAATTACAACAGCAGTGACAACAAAGTGCTGGAACCATATAGAAACGTGCAATAAACTGTACATTAGAACTCAGAAGGAAGGGAGCCTTCTGAGACCCATCACTAGAGGCAATGACTCGCATCATAAAATCAGCTTAAAATGCACCAAAGAGCTTTAAACTATAGCAGAATCCTTTACACAGATGCCACTTTGTAAGTTGTGTTTTGTGACAGCTGTAGCATTGAGTGACAGCTGGGACATGAAAATAACCAAGCCCATAGTTTACAGACCAGGGGCAAACACAGGATCTGAAACCAACACCAAACAGCAGAACCAGCACAAACTCCTGGAGGTTTTTAGAACCCTCTCTGTGTTTACTAATCAGCTTTCTTAAAGTACTGCTAAATCCTAACTAACAGTACTTGAAGTTATAACAAAGAAAGAATTTTTAAGTGATAAAAATTGCAGCTTGATATGCTGCAGAGCTGTCTTGACACACATGCTTTCTAAGGATGCCCTAACAAATGCTGTAGCTACTACCACCATTTTTTGGTGGCAGAAAAACTCCTTTACTCCAGGTTTGGGCACAGAGCATTTTTAAATGGTTGATGCAACTGTTAGCCACGTCAAAGCAGAAATTATGGAAGAAATCTGTGCCATTTCTGGTTGGAGCCTGGGTTAAATAATTTCTTGCCACAAATATGATTTAAAAAATACCAAGTCTCAGAGGATGAGAAAGTATGTTTCTGTGGTTGCCCTCTAAGATCAGAGCTGGGGTTCAGAACAAGAGGGAGGCAGGGGAGAAGGCACTTGGTGGGCTACAGTGAAATGATCTCTTTAATAAGAAATGGGCCATACTGTGACATTTCAGAGCCCTTGGGCTAGAAGACCAAAAGATCCATCAAGAGAAAGGAATTTTAACTTTTACTGTGGATAGAAGGAAGCCTGGAACTCAGTGTAGCTAGTTTAAGACTGCAATTAGCTTTGGTGGCTTTAAGAAAGAGAAGATGTAATTGCTGCATTCAAACTTCAAATAAGGCAAGCATAACAAGCATCAGTTTCTCAGACAACATCATTTGGGAAATTTTCCACAGCATTATGGTCCTGAAACACAAATTAGAGACCGCCAGACCTTTTCTCTCTGAAAATATATTATCCTAATTTTCATCTTATTCAGCCTACCCTCCAGTTCCAGGGAGACTAATGAAGAGGA